TTGCAGGAATTGGTTGAGGGTTTCTAAGGTTACATATGTCTGTGTGCCTGTGTGTGTGTACACGGTTGGCAGAATAATCCCTCAGTCTAGATGGTGTAAGTCAATCTTAATTGTGATGGAGACATCCGGCAAGAGAGTGGTAGGATTAATGTTTTGCTTCAAGATTGAATGTCACAATGGAAGGAGGGGGCGAAAGTGAAAAAAAAAATAGAGTGATAAGAAACTCACTGTAAAGCTGTAGCGATTTTATGAGAAACAATCATCTGCTGAAAATAGTTTCACATTGTGTCGGATTTGTTCTGTACACCTAATAGACATACTTAGAAAATAAAAACACTATAAATTAATTAATATTTTATAGCACAATATTTATATTAAAGGACAAACAATATACTAGAATGTATGACCTGAAAGATTTGTTCGTACTGTATGAAACATCCCATCCTGTAGTCTTCAACAGAGATGCAGACGCCTGTGATCTTTTTTAACCCCATGGTCTAATCCTGTTAGTCAACACAGGTGCAGATGATTAAATTTATTACCCCAGCTCTACACTTGGCAGAGTCAGACAGTCATGCTCCCTGTTGATAAAGCAAGCAGACGTTTCCTTATGATTGACAGCTGAAGACAGTGTACCTGCTTAATCTGAGAAATTAAACCTGCCTGCATGCAAATCACAATGCAATCAGCTGACGGTGACTGTATAATCAAGAGCGAGCAACTTTTATGCAAACTTACTTAAAGATGGAACTAAAGAGATTACCTTTGATTTGAACTAATGTTCCAATCACTTGCTGTGTCGGGTTAATACGCAATTATGACTGCACATACTAACTTGTTGACTGATAAACTTCTGTATTTTTTTTTCCAGATGCCTATCCTATCTCGGAGGTGGTGTATAAATGGACAAAAGGCCCTGGCAAGTCTGTGGTAGTGGCAGAAGAAGGGTCACGTCTCAATCAATACCATCTAATTGGCCACACAGCTGGTACGGAAGACATCAGCACAAGTAGAGGTAAATCACTTTGTCTGATCCAATCCCATTCATTGCAGTGTGTGTCAGTCAGTCAGTTAACTGGTGAATCAGCTTTATAGTTAGGACCAGGTCCAAACCGTTTTGCAGTATCTGCCTGAAATGAAAACATGGACAGCGGTGCCTATAAAAATAATTCTACTGGACATGGAGCTGCAGCTCATGTTATGCATATACTGTACTCAACACTTACCAGCCCTTTAATGGTAATCTTTCACTTGAAGGAGGTGTTCATATGACTGTCATGACACCTTTATAATCATAAAGGAAATGTTATGCATGCGTATGACAACTTTTATAAAGTGCTATTTGCTCTGTTGTGCGATTTTAAATGCAAAGATGACATTGTTTGGGATGTCTTTGTAATGACAACTCCACAAACCAATACATCAAAACCTGTCTGTCTTTGTCATGACAACTTGGCATTAACAAGACAACATAACTATTCATAATTCGGTTATAAACATGGTTGTTAAGAGGCCATTAAACACTCGTCGGCCACTTTATTAGGTACACCTCACTAGTACCGGGTTGGACCCCATTTTTTTTGACATGGTCAGCAACAGTACTAATGAACACTCTTAGTACTAATGAATGAGCCCAAAGTGTGTCAAGAAAATGTCCCCCACACGATTAGACCACCACCAGCAGCCTGAACCGTTGCTACAAAGCAGGATGGATCCATGCTTTCATGACCCTACCCTCTAAATGTTGCAGCAAAATTTGAGACTCATTAGACCCGCCAACGATTTTCCAATCTTATTATTACATTTTAGTGAGTCTGTGTAAATTGTAGCCTCAATTTCCTGTTACTAGCTGACAGGAGTGGCACCCGGTGTGGTATTCTGTTGCTGTAGCCCATCTGCTTTAAGGTTGGACATGTTGTGCATTCAGAGATGCTCTTCAGCTTACCTTGGATGTAACGAGTGGTTATTTGAGTTACAAATACTTTTATTACAGCGTCACTCAAATTTTGTTGATTTTAACTACAGGGGTACAAATTGAATTGGTCATAAAAATGTCATTAAGGCCCAATCCCAATTCTATTTTTGTACCCCTACCCCTTACCCTTGGCCCTTACAACCGAGGGTGAAGGGGAAGGGCTTAAAAATTTACCCCTAGAATTGGGACAGTACTATAGCACCTGCACACGTCATCATATGTCCTCGCGATCTCCTGCTTCATATGAGATCAGATGACCGCGACTACTGTAATTGTTTCAGTTGTGTTATTTTTTGGTATTTGTCTTCAGGAAATCACTGAAGGCATATATTATGTTATTATAACGATCTAATGTGCCAATGAGATCGTAACTTTACTGTGTATTTACACAGTGGCCATATTCATCAATGTAAACACACCAAAAACAACATTAACATTATAGCAGACACTGTAAAAAGCCCATTGACAGCCACTAGACATTACTGACAGGGTATTCAAGTGTCAGAATGTTGTGGGACTACTGTACAGGAGTTATTAATAGGGATTATAGATCGCAACGCGGTTATGAATATATTAAAACGTGTTTGTTTGATGAAAAATCCTCATTTGTGGATCTCCTTACTTCCGGGTTCAGCAATACTGCCGTTGTGGCAGGTGTATTCTGGGAAATTTTCTTACACCTTGGTTTCAAGTGTGGTCCTGAAAAAATCTGCGTTCAAATAGCTATTCACCCCTTCCCCTTAGCCCTACACCAAGCTAAAGAGAATTGGGACACCCCTACCCCTTGGCAAGTACGCGCAAAACGAGGGGTAGGGGTAAGGGCTAAGGGGTAGAATTGGGATTGGGCCTAAGTCTCAATACTCCGTCAAATATTTTTATAACAGTGCCATAAATATTTTCTATCAAGTTTTCTTTAACAGAAGGCCGATTGATCATGTTTGTGACAAGTTATGTTGTCTTGGTAATGTTGACATGACAAAGACAAAGACAAGTTATAATGTATCATAGCAAAGACCTCAAACAATGTCATCTTTACAGTTAAAATGACATGAGTGAACAACAGTGAATGATGTGTTATGTCATGATGTCTTATGGATGACCTATTCAAGTAGTGTTACCCATTTAATGGTACACCTTGGTTGTACTGTATACGTAGTACCTAGGTTTGCCATCAGATCTGCCTTAATCTCATTGCTGAAGCCATTCGAGTACACTGAACTCATTGTTATGTTTTCATGCTGAAGAACTCACATATTTATGAAACCATCATGCTGGAAGTAGCTATCACATGATAGGCACACTGTGATCAAAAATTGATTGATATGGTTAGCAACTATACTAGGGTACAGTAGGCTCTTCCGCATACAATCCAAGGAGACAAATAGATCTATTATTTTATTCTGGCCCTACCATCTGAACTCTAATCAGGCCATTCAATCTTTTTGTCCAGTCATGAGCCTATGTGCATTGTAGCCTAATTTTTAAGTTTTTAGGTGACAGGAGGGGCACTTTTTTGTTTTTCTGCTGCTGTAGCTCATCTGTTTCAAGGTTTGACATGCTTTGTATTATTTAACGCTTTTCTGAGATGCTTCTTTCTCATGCTGCCTGTCAGTTTGAACTTCAGCAGATCTTCTTACAGGCTTAAATACATTTGCTGCCATATGACTGACTGATTAGGTATTTGCTTTAACAACCAGTTAAACAGGTGTAACTTTAATGGCAGGTGAGTGTATTTAGCACACTATCATTCAATTTCAGATTCAAATCAACCATGAATTACATCGTAGCTCCTTACAAAGGTGCTGTCCAGTAACATTTTATTTACACATAAGTCAAATACACATCACAGCTCTGCCTATCTTCTAACCTGTTGTGTCACATGCATTATTTTCAGAAATAATATGTTCAATCGCAGCATTTTAGTTTTGACATCGTCTCACTTAAACAAAATGATATTCCTTGAATGATTATAGCCTTTTCAAATCAAGCTGGATGACGCATGAGTGATGAGGATTTCAGTACACCTCCCACTCACGGCCAGCTGTCTCTAGGACCAGCGAGAGTACAGGAAGAGATGAGGATGAGAGGGAGGGGGAATAAACAACACTTATCCTGAGCCATTGGGTCTGGAGGGTTAATCCTCGTGCCTCCCCATCAGTTGTGCTTTTACCATGTGACGTCGCTCAGACGCCATTGGCTCAAGCCGGCAAGAGACACATGGGAGCTCTACGAGGGGGAGAATGGGGGCCTAGACAGCATCTGCCTAATTCGGTTATGTAAAGAGGACTGGTATTACACTCATATCATTGCTGCCTCTAGCCTTGTAATCATTATGTGTGGGGGTTGGGGGCTTCCCCTTGTTCCGCTTTTATGGATGTACATATATGGATAACCGTGCTGAGCTGGCATACGGTCATATTCAATAAGACACGATCATGAGCTAGGCAGATGCTATCAACTTCACTGACCGCATCATGTTTTCAGCCCTGCTGAGTCTATTTTGCTTTTAACAGCCATTGATTAACCCATCCAAGTTCGCTGGCTGTCATCAAGTGAAAAGAAGCACTTTTAGAAACAAGTTACCAACTTGCTTTGTGGGAGATCCTTGCCTCTTCTGACATTTTGCCTTGGCTGACTTGCAGGACAAAGGTCAACTGGTCATTACTGCTGCTAATCTGAAGTGCAAACCTCTTTACAAAGTCAAAAATAGCTCCACCTGGACTTCATATCAACACAGGGTCATTAGCTCAACTTAGAACACCTGACGGAGAAGAAAGAGCAAAGGAAGGGGGAGGAAAGCCTGCTAACCTGAAATTATTTCTGGTGGAAATGTCAACACTCAATCACTTGTCCCAAACCGTAAAGACATCCAGATAACCTGTCACCTTTTATTAATAAGAACTCACATCCAGAAAATAGCACCTGCAACTCTTTCAGACTGATTCAGAATCTGACCTGCTTTACTGTTGGTGTGTTCATCCGTTCCTGTCAACTGTGTTATTTTCTAGGAAAGCAAAGCACTCACCAGTTGACCAGCATGGCAGCGTTGTTTTCTGCTATGAATGGGAGTTCTCCATAAACACTCCAAAAGCTTAGCAGTAAAATCCACCACAGTCGCATGTTTTCAGCTCTCAAAGAGTCCCACCCGGCAAGGCGCATCCAAGGCGGAATATTTGAAATGGGGCACTGCCAGATGTGCTTTCTTCCCGGTCATTGAAATAAAGGGCAGTGCGAGATGAAGGGGATGCGTCGAGCCCCTCGTGACGAGGACATCTTTGCCCCCAGGGCCCTCACAATGTTCAAACTTTTCCTTGACTTCCAAGGCTCAACAGCTTGTCATCATCTTCATCTGATCCACTTGATCCGTCTCCTCTGATCCAGACTAGATTTGGTGCTGTTTGCCCCCCTTTTTAGTTGCCCCTTTATGCAAGCAGAGAAAGAGTATATCCCAAACGTAGAGGCCTGGCCTGACAGAATGGATGGAACTATTGAAAGAGAGAGAGACAGACGAGTGTGTGTGTGTGTGTGTGTGAGAGAGAGAGAGAGACAGAGAGAGAGAGAGAAGCCTGCAGGATGCAGATTGTGACAAGGGATTAGTGGGACACAAAAATCCGATTTTGCCAGGAGAAAGCAGCAGTCATCAGTGGATTTTCTATAGTTTATCAGACTGTGTGGCTCAAAAGGATTTTTTTAAAAGCTTCAAATTCAATCTTCGCTTGGTTAACAGGATGTATAATGTTTTTTTTCACTCTGTATTCTCTTTTCTATTGCAGTTAATGATTTACCTCACCATGTTCCAGTGCACAGTTTGACAGCTCTTAAACAGAAAATAAATGTTGCTCTTATTTAGATGATTCCACACTGTGGATCTATTGCAGGCGACCCCCCCCCCCCCCCCCCCCTTTAAAGTTGTTCGTCACTTAACACAATTAAATAATCTTTGTGGTCAGACATTACAGTAACTGTCCACTACATGGTGCTAATGAGACGACCAACCAGAACATCAAAATGCTTCTAAAGGAAAAATTATGATAGCTTTTTGGGAAATTCCATAATTGAATAACTTCCAGATTTCTTTTTGATTATGCATCTGTCTTCCTTTGACTTGTGTCTCACTTCATATCTCTCTCTCTCTCTTTTTCTCATTTTCTCTTTAAACCTCTCAGCTGGTTTGCACTTATCCCCCCAAGAGTTTAATCACACGTTATCCATCCCTCTCTTAGTCCCTTTGTTTCTTCTTTTCATCACTGTTATTCTCGCCCGTTCACTCATTTCATTCTACTTTTTCTGTTTCATTGTTCCCCCTACAGGTCAATACACTGTAATGATGGCCCACTTCTACCTGAAGAGGAAGATTGGTTACTTTGTGATTCAGACCTACATGCCGTGCTTCATGACTGTCATTCTGTCCCAAGTCTCATTCTGGCTCAACCGTGAATCCGTCCCAGCCAGGACTGTGTTTGGTCAGTACTTCCTTCTGCACTTTATTTATTTATTGTTTGTGGTAATTCAGGCTTTATACAAAATGAAAAGTTTTTTTTTATATATTATACCTTAAATATTATGCATCTTACTACTACAAATTATTTTATATTAATTTTATAAAGCACAAACATTTGAATATTCTTTTTTCTTTCTTTTTTTTCTTTCTTTCTTTCTTTAGCATAAAAGCATAAAACACAGAAAATTAAATGACAGCAGCTCATTTCATTTAGCAAGATAATTTTAATGTTTTATGTAATTTTATATTTGATTAATTTCAGCTTTATGTCAATTTCAATTATTTTAGTTATCTAAGTATATACTAATGCTAATTGGTTGGTAAGACAGTATTTCCTTTTAATAGATTTTTAAATCTGATATTTACATTTTATTTCAGATTTATTTCAAAGACCAACACTTTTTTTTAACCCTTTTAGTTTTGTATAGTGCAAACAATACCGTACCAAATTGCATGGTGTCATTTGCCCCTACTGGTTGTTACTGTAACTACAATGTTCTCTAAGATGTAGGCAGATAACATGACGAAATAAAGTCAAACATAAAATTTGTTTTAACAAAATTGAAAATAACATAACCAAAAGATCCGTATCAGTATGTTTAATCAGTGTGAACAGCAAGTGAATGCATGCGGAAAGTGTTGTCAGTGCTAATGTATAGATGCAAAACAAAACATAAAGCCCAAATTGGAGCGTATCTCTGGCCAATTGCCCAAACAATGAATGAACAGCAGTCCGACAAACTCTCTCACTGTGTTTAAATAAGGGCAACCTCCAACCTACAACTCACAAAACATATAAAAACACAAACCAAAACAAAAATACATACAAAAAAATAAACCTTCACATGCATTCTGTATAAATCCATGCTTGTTAGCTTTTTCCAAATAATATAGATCTTCTAGACAAAGTTAAGTTTGCCTTGAAGATAATTGTAATGGTGATTCTAATGATGACATCTTACAATGTCTTAAAGAACCCAGCAGGCACAGGACGTCAACATGATGTCAGATTGATGTACCAAAAGGTCGGTGGATGTTGCATTTTGTTTGGAAATGAAAATCGGGTTAACGTCAGAACCCAACGTCAGGCCGACATCCAACCTAATATGAACCAAATATCAGCGTCTAATGATGTTACAGCTTGACGTTGTGTGGACATTAATACTATAGCATCTTTTAGACCAGTGGTTCTCAAACTGTGGTACATGTACCACTAGTGGTACGTGGCCTTCCTTCTAGTGGTACGCGGATGAATCAAATATGTCATACATGCTACATATATTTAAACAAATTATCAAAAATTATTTTTATGTGAATATGATGACATAAAGCCTATATTTAAGAGGTCCAGGCAACATTTCCAGGTGCTGATAAACCAGGAGTTTTTTCTTTTTTCTTTTTTAAGAACAGTAACCTACCATTCTTACTTTTAAAAGCACATTATAATTAAATGTTCTTAATATTAGGAGCTAATATGCCTCGTTTTCAAACTGTACAGAGCTTTAGCTGCTTTTCTGCACCTAATACTGTATTTCAGTACTGCTCATTATGGTGGTACTTGCAAAGACAACTTTTTTCTGAGGTGGTACTTGATGAAAAATGTTTGAGAACCTCTGTTTTAGACGTTGGATTTTGGTTGCTATACCTTACAAATAAATGTCAGTATTTTATGTCAATATGACGTTGGTTTAAGATGTTGGCTCTACGTTGGATTTTGGTCATTTTCCAACACAACCTAAAATCAACCAAATATCAACGTCATTTGACATCGTCATTGGATGTCAAATTAAAGTCATTAGCCGCTGGTTAGACATTGAGTTTTGGTCACCTGATGTCACGACCTAAATCTACCCTAATATTACCGTCTTATAATGGTGAGTGCCTGCTGGGTAGACTTCATATCATAGATATTTAATCTCCTTTGTCTGAAGGTATGCAGGACATCATTTAAAACGGGAACAAAAATATTTCATTACAGTCACCAAGCAACTATATATTCATATCTATTGCTCGCTTCGGCCATCAGTTAATGTTTTGCTTAATGCATCAATAATTCTCATCAAAATGGAAATCGGAATCGACTGATGCAATCAGAGGGAATCAAGAACTAATCCACTCGGATGACTGTTTCTGAATTCACACCACTGTTCTCATTCAATTCCGAGGTCTTGCATTTTATCTTGGCAATAATCAGCAAAGCGAGCAGACGCTCCACAAGGAATATTTGCCCACGCAAACAACATCTCTATGACTGGCCAACAAAGAATTCATCAAAACACTCTCTCACTCACACACACACACACACACACACTTATAGACATACAAATATCCACGAACGGAGGCTCAAAGCTCACTGATATGCACATGTGCTGTTTTAAATCTTTTTTTTTATTTGCATTGCCACAGGCTGCGAAATCCCAGAGCTGAATGCCTGAGGGAATAGTAGTACCATACCTATTTATGTCTAAAGGTGTCTGTGTCCAATGCCTGGGGCGACTTTATCTGCACATCTCCTTCTGACAGGGACAGAACACCTCCGCGCCTTTACCAGAACTTTGCATAAAGAATTATTAATGATACTGTCACTCTAGGGGATGTTAGATATTAAAAACGCACAGTGTGCACACAGTGACCGTTCCAAACTACCTTTTGCACACTTTATTTTTCTTTGAGAGAAAAAGTGGCGTTCCTGGGAATGAAATGATCTTAATGTCAGTATTCCCTGCTGGTTTGGTTTGTTTTGTTGTTAAGATGAGCTTATGATTCATGAACCGATATTTTATTCATGCGCAGGATTTGAAATATTAAAAGAATTATGTTGGATGAAAGACAGAATTTCTCGGCTTACTGGTGTGGTTGCATTCACAAAATGACTCTGCTTCTGCAGAACATGTTTTGATGGATGACTGTGATCATATTCAGCACACAAATCTTTTTATTTGAAAAGCAGTGTATGCCTGTATGTTTTGCATGAAGAAATTGTAGCTCTTCCACATTTAAAGAATTTTTTAATAATAATAATAATAATTCATTAATTCATTCATTTTGTGGCTTAGTACCTTTATTAATCAGGGGTGGCCACAGCAGAATTAACTGCCAACTTATCCAGCTTATGTATTACACATGCCCTTCCAGCTGCAACCCAACACTAGGAAACACCCTAGACTCTTGCATGCACAGACATACACTACAACCAATTAGGCTTATTCAGTTAACCCTTAGCGAATGTCTTTGGACTGTGGGGGAAACCGGAGCACCCAGAGATAACCTACACGAACACTGGGCAAACCTGCAGTCCCCACAGAGAAATGACAACTGACCCAGCCAGGACTTGAACCAGTGACCTTCTTGCTGTGAGGCGATCATGCTACCCACTGCACCACCGTGACACCAATAATAATAATTCCTTACATTCACATAGCTTTACACATGTTTAGGGGGGAATCTTGTCATCCACCACCAGTGTGCAGCATCCACCTGGATGACACAACGGCAGCCATATTGCACCAGACCACACATCACACACCAGCTGATTGGTGGAGAGGAGACAGAATAATGAAGCCAATTATGAAATGTGGATGGTTAGGAGGCCATCATGGACTGAGGCCAGCAGGCCAATTTGGCCAGGATAAACCCTACTCTTTTTCAAAGGACATCCTGCGATTTTTAAAAACCACAGAGAGTCAAGACCTTGATTTAAATATCAGTATAGAGTCTCCATCAATATACTGGGGCGATAGGATCCACAAAGACTGCAGGTCTCACTAACACCACTTCTGGCAGCAACCTAGTTTTCCCATGTTCCCATGGTCTCCCATCCAGGTACTGACCGGGTGCAGCCCTCCTTAGCTTCAGTAAGCGAACATGTAAAAGCTGCAGAGAGCTAGCTACTGGAGGTTTTGTTAATTAGGCATATGATTTGATTTATGGTGTCTAACAAAGTTTCAAACTTTAAATATTTAGATAAAATTATAATTTTGTTTTAGGTTTAGAGATAGGAATTAGGGCTGCACAATATATCTTTTAGCATCGATATCGCAATGTGCG